GGGAGGCCCCAAAGTAGAGCCATGGCAGAACAACCAGCCCCTGTCCCGCAGGGAGCAGCGCTGCTCCTGCTCCATCCCTGCTGTCACGGAGGCACCCAGCCAGGTCCCTTCATCCTCCTCCTCCTCCTCCAGGCTACACCACCTGATCCAGGCTCTGCCCCAGCAGGCGAGTGGAGCAGCCCCCACCTGCCCTAACACGAGCTCTGCTCCCGAGTCCAGCTGGGGGAACAAACAGGCATCGTTCGTGTAGGACCTACACAAAAACACCATCTGGTGCTGCCTTTTGTAGGATGCAGGACTACGAGCACACCTTGGGCCAAGCAAAGAGGCCAAGCAGATACACAGCCCCATGTACAGAGGAAGCCAGGGCCTCTGGGAAGCCTCCTGCATCTCCTCTGGCAGGAATCCCAGGGCAAGGCAGAGGGACAGGGAGGGTACTCCCAGTGCAGGTTACTGGTGAGCTGGTCCCAGGCAGGGCTGCCACAAGCCCCTGCAGTGGGTGACATGTGATCCATGCTGCAGCATGGGAAGGACTTTGTCCTAGGGGACTGAAATGAGATTGGGTTTATCCAGGCACCTCGTTGATGGCCATGGCAAGCCCAATGGACCATGCTCATCAATGCTGCATGGGAGGGGAAACTGAGGGAGAGGTCGGTGTGGGGACACTGGGGACAGGCAGCTCAGCCAGGCCATGCACAGACCCCTCTGCCATGCAGAAGAAACAACCTGCAGCCTCTGACCCCTCTGCCTCAAGCCCGGCCCCTGCTCCTTGCAGCCAGGATGGGGCACCATGCAGGATGCTGTACCTCTGTCTCCATGTGCCCCAAGTCTGCAAGAGCCTCCTCTTACCACTAAAGATGGGGCTGGAGGGTCAGGGCAAAGACACAGGAGAAAACATGAGTTAGCCCATGGTCGGGAGCATCCCAGGCCACCGTGTCCCCAGTCCCCCAGGCATGCCCCAGTGCACGGGCGCAGGGTCCCAGCCTGCCACTGGTGAGCATCACCCGCTGCACCAGCCACGGTACCGCCTGTGCTGTGGAGGCAAGAAGCAAAAGTAACATTGTTTGTGTAGGTCCTACATAAACACTTAGCGCCTGCCCCACAGAGGAAGGTCCGGTTTCCCAGCAGTGGGGCTCTCCCAAAGAGCCATTTGGTGCTGGCATATTACCTGAGGCTTAAGCACTTGTGGGGCTGCACATCCTCCTCCTTCCAGCTTGAGGGGTGAATGGGGGGCACAGCAGGTTAGGGGTGGGTTGGAGGGATGGAGAGGAGGAGGGTGAGAAGGGCAGGGGAGGAGAGAGAGAAGATGAGATGTTATGAGGTGATGCTCACAGAGGAGATGGGGGCTTGGGCCCCCCCGGCTGGGATGTTGGGGAGGTTCAGTCCCTCCCCTGCCAGCTTCTGAGCCCAGAGAAGAGCCCACCAAACCCATACTCACCTTGGGGCTGGCAGGAGCACCAGGTCCCCCAGCCCCATACCTGCAGCGGGGCTGCCGCAGCCTCACACCTTGCTGGACCTCCCATAGCCCCATCTCCATCATCACAGGGGAAACTGAGGCACGAAGTCTGCCTCACCCCACCTAACCCTGATGCTGGCCTGGGTTCTCATTGGCACTGGGGCAGCTTGGCATTGCTGCTGCAGGCACGGGAAGCCCACCTCGGACAGGAGGAACGGGTTTTGCTCCTTGCCTGGCTCTGCAGCAGGGCCACACAGCTCCAGCACCCACGGGCTCACAGCACTGCCCTCGCAGGACCATTTCCAGCCACTCTTGGCTGCCCTGTGGAAGGTCCTGGTGCAGTGAGGAGGTGGAGATGAACACTGCAAGAGGCTTCACAACGGTCCAGCAGCCCAGAGTGCATCCATGGGGACCAAGCGTGGCCCCTCCGGAGGCAGTGGCAGGAGCAAGGCTCTGGGTAGATGGTGACAGGCACCGCGGTGGCACCGCAGGAGGACACAGAGGAGCAGAGGGAGGGCAGAGACGGGGAGAACACAGGGCTGGGGCTGCACCCTCCTACCTGTCCCCTGAACAAGCAGCGGGGCTGGTGCTTTTCTGGCCAGGGGTGAAGGGGTGATAAGGCGGTGGGGCTCCGTCCGGCAACTTTTTCACCTCTGAATTCCTAAATCCTCCATTGCGGACTCGGTGCAAATGCTCAAACATAAGGACCAGTTCTCTGAGGTTGGGGTTAAATAAAAACATGGAGAAATTAACCTTTCCAAAGCAAAGGAGATGAGCAAACCAAGGCTGCCTGTGCGAACCGAAGCAAAACCAGAGCAAAAGAAGCAGCAAAACCCAGCATTTTTCTTCCAAAAGACGGTCTCTTCACAGCTCTGACCGGCACTGCTGGCTCCTGGGGTGACAGAGCAGGGGAAGGGGTGCTGGGAGCCCCACAGAGGGCTGCATGGGTGCTGAGAGGGATAGGTCAGGCAGGGAACAGGCAGGACAACCACTCTTGCCACGGCGTTGGGACAGGGGTACCTTTTTCCCCTGTGTGACCGGGGGTCTGGGCATTGCTGGAGCAGCCCTACCCCCACCCCCGGCACAGCAGGAGGGGTCGGTGGAGCCCCCCGTGGGGCCCGCACCGGGACCGCCCCGCAGTGGTGCTGGGGAAGATGGATCTCCTCGGTTGGGAGCAGAGGGACTCGCTCCCGTGGCTGTTGAGAGCTTGTCCTTGAACAAACGAAGAGTGAATCAGAACAAGTTTGTCGCTGCGAAGGAACACGTGGACACGGCAGGGGCAGGACGTGCAGGCAGAGGCAGGCAGGAGGCTGGGGGCAAACCCTGGTGTGCTCCATGTGATGGGAACACACGGGGTATCTCAACATCCAGGGGCCCCAAGAGAGGAGAGTGTCCCATGGACGGGGCATGGGGCTCCCTGCCAGACCCCCACATCCCTCTGCTCTGCTGCCATGCTCAGAGCCAGCTCCTGGCCGGCTGCAGCTCCATCACCCCAGCCACGAGGTCCTGTGGCCAGTGGTACCATCCTCTTCCTCATGGCAGTGCTGGAGAAGGCTATGGATGGGGTGAGAGGGGACATGGGTGGGATGGGTGCTGGGGGATGGTGAGGATGGAGGAAGGCATTGGGTATTTCATGGAATCCCAGCCTGGTTTCTGTTGGAAGGGACCTTAAAGCTCCTCCAGCTCCAACCCCTGCCACGGGCAGGGACATCTTCCACTAGAGCAGGTTGCTCCAAGCCCCT